GGTGGTGGTGGTGATACATCCCGCGTCGGACATGGCGGAGAAGCACCTCCACCTCCGGCCCCACAGAAGAACTTCAACCGTGAAACTGCTGAAATGAAGAAGTATGAGCTAGCTGAGAAGAATTAAAGAAGTAAAGGGTAAAAATTCCCTATTTCTTATATCATCTATCCCTATTTTCTGGTGTAAGCAGGGCTTCAGTTGAATTGCCAATAATGGTAGGTACTCGGCATGTGCATGAAGATGAAGTACATGAGGTATGTAATGGTTGGTAGGTTGTAGGTTGGACGTTGGTGGTGGCCTGGTGGTAGTTTGGTAGGTTGTAGGTATGTAGGTTGTAAGAAGGTTGGTTGAAGGTTAGGTTAGGTCAGGTCACACGGCTGAGGCTTTTGTTAACCATGATGTTATTGATAAAATTAGCACTGATGAGGTTATTAGTGTACTGTATAGTATTATACCATGGCGGCATGGCCAATTACATGTAATATATGCATTTAATTATTTTGACAAAATTTCACCACACCAATTAAAGCAACACACTTTTAGTTTGTCATTAATTTCAAAATACTAACTTTACTCCACTTCATCCAGGAAATCAAACGACTCAACGACTCAAATGTTTACCTGGCAGTCACTAGTATTCTTACCTCGTCTTACCAGTCGCCAGTCGCCAACAATTTTCAACTTATTCAATAGATTTCCGTCTCTCTTGCGTCTCTCAGCCCACACAAAAACGCAATTCAAAATATTTTGTTTACTTTTTTCGATTTTGATATTTGAGACAAACACGCCAGTTTTGACTCAAAAATAATTGAGTGACTGCCACCAAATAGAAGAAGTACCAAACCCAGTACCAAACCGATGCTAAACACCATGATAAGGGGCTAGCTGAAGCCTGAAACTAATAAAGTGAATTATGTTCTGAGCTTTTTTCTTAATAAAGACATTTATCAAGTCTAATCATATATTTTTTGGTGTTAGAACTATAACAAAGTTCATTTCCTTTTTGCACAATACAATCAAACACAGACGCCCCAGCCAAAGCTTTATGAAAGGGACCGTACTCAGCTCACACGTTTGCTGTGCAGTGACGTGGTGCATATCCATATGTTTGGGTCGGGTAAGGTTCGTATTGGAACTTCGAGCCACAAATGCATCTCTTTTCCATTTGTGAAATCTGCAGCCACTTCGCTTTGGAGTTTGGGCTGAGTAACGACGACCAGAAAATATAGGGGAAGGAGGGTGAATTTCGCCACCTTAAGGAAAAACGCTAAAAGAAAACCGCTGGAGATATAAGCATGCACTGGTAACCATTTCAAAGAGGAGCTCATTGGCTACGATTTAAGAGCCTCCCGATCAATCAATACCTAATGTTTCGTTTGCTTCTGACAGCTGCTTTTTCAGAAACATGCAAAAGGGCGCATTTGCCAACAGCTGCTGTAAATTGCGCCAGGGGGATGGCGCAATTAGAACCCAATTGCGCCCTATATTTTACATGGCTAAGTGAATGAGACGGAATGCATACACCCCGGCAGTCTAATGTCATTGCGGCTTACTTAACCCTCGCCGGCCGAGGGGGGGGGGGGCGGGTGCCGCCCCCCCCCATAGGGTTTTTTCGCGATAGCTCCGAACACGCTGGGGATAGAGAGCTGAAACTTGGCATACCTGACCTTTGATCCAAGCCGGATCTTTTGACACCAACCGCATTTTTGGGTCAGGTCAGGTCACTGACCTATGACGTCATAAGTGAACCTCTGCACGGTCTTCAGATGTCGCAACTTCGCAACGCCCTCACTGCCAGAGGAGATGTCACAGGGAAATGAAACTTGCAGGATCTAGTATCCATTATGAGTCCCACAACTTGTATATCTCGGATTTTTCCTAAAGGTCATATGAGGTCAGGTCATTTTTGTGACCTCACCATTATAAGTCAATGGGGAAAAATTCAAACTGCTATTCTGGCGCCGGGAACGATCTCCAACTATCTCAAGCACACAAAATCGTGATTTGATGCACTCCTTGCAAGGTTAGATGCGTCACTTTTGCAATGTTGACCTTGCGTGACGTCATTTATGACGTCATCAAGGTCAAATTAGTTTTTCATCAATAACTCTTGATCAAATTGAGCTAGCGAGTCGGGAAAGGCACCAATGGACTCAGGAAGGCCTGCCGAATCGAATGATATGCGACATGACCTCTTTCGACCAACTTCGTGACCTGGGGGTGCTGACCTGACCTTGACCTGAGGTCAACACCCCAAGTTGACCTGACCCGGACAAAAAGTATATCATTCGACGCGCCTGAGCGAGGCGAACACGATGCTGCCAAAATCGGCGCTCTGCGGCCGTTTTTTACAAAGTTATTCACCAAAAACTGAACCGTACCCTGGGGCACTTGACCTGACCTCAGAGGTCACCGGTTGACCTAGGACCTTAAAATCGGGTACCAATCTCTGCGTCTCGTAACGGCGCACACGCTCGTTTTTTCCGCGACGCGCTAGCTCCACCAGGGGCGAAACGGCGAGGGGGGGGGGTCGTACCCGCCCCCCCCCTCGGCCGGCGCGTATGTAGAAAACCAATAGGTCCCGCGAGGGTTAAACATTTATAATGTTATTCGGGCTGGATGAATAATAAATGTAGATATAAATCGCGATGTCTTTTGCCCAGGTAGATAACTTTACATGTGTCCGTACGCTTGTAAAAGTGCAACGAAAACGTTTACTGTAACCGACTAGATAATATGTGAACGTATGCGCCTATACAGTTAAATTTTCAATCGGTTCTCTCAAAATTAATAATTTTATAGTTTTGACAACTTAATGACATCAGTTTTTACTTTTTCATCATAGCTGTTACTTCTCACGCCTGAGTCCATGTTGAAAATGTCGTATTTTGTCAATTACACCACAAGTCGTAGCCTAAATGGCAGCTGCATTATAAGTTTGACGATAGAGATAATTTGCGGACTGACGACAGCGGGCTGCTCCCTTGCCTGACATAAAACTCCTTCTTTATTGCAATCAGTTAATGATGCACCCTACTGTCGTGATACAATGGCTACACCATTATTCTATTTGCGCCCCCCTGGCGCAATTGCCATGGGCGCAATTAAAATCAGGGGCGCGGGAACTACTTTCCGACTGGGGGGGCACACCATAATAGAGATCAACCTAGGGTACCCCCAAATCTAGTTTTCTCACCGGTTTTAGGCCACTTATTTTTCACCCCTCGGCTTTTTCAACAAAAAAAGAAAACATTTGCAAAAAAAGTGTGGTATTCCGTCTCAAAGCTGTGGCGGCACCGCCCCCACGGCCCCAGAGTTGGGGGGGGGGCAAGCTGCCCCCACTGCCCCCCCCCCCCGGCTCCCGCGCCTATGATTAACCCGCGCCCTGCTGGGGGGGGGGTGTTTGAACACCCCCCCTTGTGGTTTTTCGCGAATATCTCAAAAACGGCGGCGCGGAGCGCCGCCGTTTTTGGTACACCTTATCGTATATCAATTCTACACATGTTGTGAAAATTTCAGACCAAGGTCATTCAAGGTCAGGTCACCAGGTCACTTGAAGTGACCTCACCTCATAAAAAGTTTCAATGTCTGTCATAGATACACCGAGTGACCGATCGCTTTGAAACTTTCAGCGATTGCTAAGAGCAATAGCATGTACAAAATGTATATCTCAGAATTTTGATATCGATGACCTAAGGTCAGGTCAATTTTGCGACCTCCCCATTATAAGTCAATGGGAGAAAATTGAAATGCGCCTCTTTTGGACAAAAGACATTATAAACACTCCCAAACACCGAATTGCAAGTGGTTCAGACACACTGAACATGAAAATGGTGTCAGTGACCCTTGTTTATGTCCTGAGGTCACCTTAAGTCACGAATGGTATCTAACAGTTTTTCGCAAATAACTTTTGATAGAGGCATGCTAGAGCGATGAAAACGCCTTAGATGTGTTCAGCCTGACGATACGGATCGACTGATATGCAACATGACCCTTTCCGGTCAGGTCATGACCTTGACCTGAGGTCAAATTTTCAAGTTGACCTTTCAAGGTCAACTTATAGTTCATTCGATGCGTCTTGACGAGAGGAACACAATGCCGGTAAAAGTAAGCTCGTACAAGGCTTGAGTCAAAAGTTATTGCAGAAAAACTGTTTCCGAAAAAATCGGCTATTTTTGCAATTTTTGCCCCCTGCAGGCAAAACCGTTGACGTTAGGTCAAATCTGAGAGAATTACTCAGAAAGGGCTTTAATAGGGCTATCGAATGCTCTTTTCCGCGGCGCTGTAACTCTATTGGTTCTCGAGTTATGCATTGGCTTCTTGGAAATTTTCGACATTCGACCTGGAAATCGGCGAAATTTTGCCTTCAATGACCTCTGGTGACCTGACCTTTGACCTGACCAAAAAATTGACTAAAGTGATTTCGTCATTATTTTTGACGCTCTTTCGAACGCCGCCTTCCGCGTATCGCTACGTGGCCCAGGAGCCGAGTTACAAGGGGGGGGGTGTTCAAACACCCCCCCAGCAGGGCGTGGAAATCCAGGACCCCCAGCCGGGCGCGGGTTAAAATTGAGGTACTTTTTGATAAAAGCACAGAAGTTATCATAAAGATGTTGCAGGAAGTTTACGGTTTCAGTGAAATATGTACAATGAAAAAATGATTTTTCTTTCTAAATATCACTCTGAAAATCACACAAATATCGTAAATTTTTATAGCCAACGGTTCAAAATACTGCAAAGAAGTTAAGAAAACGCCATAACATCTTTGATGGCGTAATGAGCCTTGCTGATTGGCTTCATCGGAGTGTTTGGGCCATAAAATGAACAATCCAGCGGTGAAAATAATGTTTTCGAACACAAAATTCTAAACATGCTATTGAATCCGTGGGAATGTTGGTGGGCGCAATTGGTTAGGAGGGCGCAATACACCCACTTTCCCCTACCTAAGTCAACCTAGCCTCGTTACGGGATGTGGATGTCCCTTCGGCACTGATCAGGAGTTATTTATCCATCAGTTTATTTGACAAACACGCACGTCAAAACCAATGCATTGACAAAAGTACTAATGCCTTTTGCAGGCTGTTACAGCACCCCCAAATGATTCTCCGCACTCTCCGCATACGAGAGGTATACGACCACTTAACATATCCCAAGTACTCCTGAGTACGTTAACGTACATACGTATACTGTACGAATCACCAGTGTGCTGTTGATGCCGAACCGGTAAATACATTCGCAACCTCGCCCCTACGACCTGTCAGACCACCTCCACTCAGTCACTGCATTGTCCGGTGTGACACCCCTTCACTCGGTTACACAGCTCATGGCGTGGCAGCGTCTTCACTCGGCCACACCAGCCGAGCCGCCGTCCCCCGCGGCGGCGCCGGTCGAGCCGCCGCCCTCCGAGCGCTCGGCGCACGCGGCCCGCAGCGCCTGGTCCAGGTCGGTGCAGAGGTCAGACGGACTCTCGAGGCCGATCGACAGACGCACCATGGCCCCGGTGATGTTGAGACTGTCCAGCTCCTCCTTCGAGTTGCGCACGTGCGTCGAGAACGTGCTGAAAGTGATCGACAGCACGAGTCAGACCTTGGGTGACGGAAAACCGAATCCGACTGCATTATGTACAAGCCATTTATCCGCCATGTAGAGGGATATACCGTTCTAACTAGTGCACTTCTAGTCTTGTTATACTTTTCATTCCCATTTTTACTCATACGCTTACCTATCCGTTCGGCAATTTAGTTCGCGGTTCGGGTACTTATAGCGACAAGCAAGAAACAACACTCAAAAGATCACCATCTCTAACAATCTCTAAAAATCAGGCGTTTTTGTTGATTTACTAAAAGGGTAAGATTTGAATTCCGGAGACGAGACCTATTCAACCGATCCAGAGATCCAGTCATCTCGTGGTTCTAAAATCTACGATATAAATCGAATATAAATCGTCATAGACCTCTGTACACCTAAAGAGACAGAGGTCTATGAGGTCTATGAGGTGTACAGAGGTCTATGAAATCGTATTTAATCGGTGCGATGCGAAATTGAGTACGCGTGATGACCTGTAAGGTCGAGGTTTAAGGCTGCTGGCTCAGGCCTGAAGCTGCTACTCACGGTCCTACGGCCAGACTCTCGTAGCCCCCCAGGCTGCCGGCCATGGTGAACAGCTTCAGCTGGCGGAAAAACTCCATGGCCTCGGGCCGACCGCCACGAATGTAGAAGCTCAGCATACCGCTGCACCCGTAGGCCTGCCGCTTCACCAGCTCGTGCTGACGACACGATCGTCCATCATGTCATGAAACACTTTTGGTAGGTCTGTAATTGTATTCACCAGCTCATGCTGAGGTCGAACGTACAGAGTGGGCTCTGCGACTGTCATCTATGGCAAGACTGCCAACTATCGTTTTTAGTAGCATCGGCCGTAGTAGATTGTCTTCCTGGTTATAGTTGCATTTTGCTTTTGAAAAAGGCTGTTGGAATTGTCTTTTTTATCTTTTTAACTTTAACTCGAGCAGGAGGTAAATAAATACCTATCGGAATAATGCACCGTCAAATGCCTAAGATAATCGCAGGTATAGAATTTATAAAAAAGCAGATCTCGATGTGATGTCGATGTTACTCTCACACCGTATACCTCATGGGCACAGCAACTTATACATAAGACACAGACTTGTGCTTTCTCAGGCAGTCATTAATCATATCTGTCATACCTGCGGGTGGGACTCGAGGCCGGGGTAGAGCACCCTCTCCACGTGCGGATGGTCCTCGAGGAACTTAGCCACGTGCAGTGCGCCGCGCATGTGATGCGGCATGCGCACGTGCAGGGTGCGCATGCCGCGGAAGGCCAAGTAGCAATCGAACGGGCCCGGCACCATGCCGGAGTCTGAGACATTACAAGGAGAACCGAGCGTTAGGAGGTCCCTCCTCGATGAGCTGAGCTGCCGGATTTCCATCGAACGGCCATTATCATTTAACACGTAAACGGTGTCATCACGTAAACGTCTAAAATACGAACATCCCAACGATGCTATGCAAAATAATTTCAGACCGTGGAACAAGCCCTCCCTTTGCCCCTCCCCGGTCCCTCCTGCCGACCCCAGCCCCCGCGCCCCGCTCACCGATCTGCATGAAATCTCTCACCGATCTGAATCAGCTTCAGCCGCTCGTAGAGGTCCTCTCTGTTGGTGGCCACAGCTCCCATCACCACGTCAGAGTGACCGTTCAGATACTTTGTGATCGACTCGATCACAATGTCGATGCCAAAGTTCAGCGGACGCTGTAAAAGGGACACTTATATCAACGAGAAACGCATTGCGACAATTAAGTTGTTTACTCATTACTCATACACCTTCCTCACTAAGTTGTTTTTATTTTGGCTTCTACAGGGTGTTTCATAATGAATGTCAATTTTTAACATGGAAGTTCATAAAGAAAAAATGTGTCTAGCACGTGCAAACTTTCAAGCATTGTTGAAAATTGATGGACATTTTATATAAATAGCATTCAATGCCAAAGTTGTTGTCATTCCTTTTTCAGAACCGGATATGTCGGGATTACCTCGCGGCTCGCCGTGCTCAAAGGATTAATACGCCATTTTCGAAAGAACAGCAGGCATGGATAGTGTTACAGCTCGGAAGCGTTAAGAACATCTCCAAAATTATGAGAAAGTTGCGGCTTCATTTAAAGTTAACCATTTACTTCAGAGTTCACTTTAGACTTAGAGCAAGACTTCGTTGACTCCCCATGGACTGCGAAGAAGTGCTCCGAGCCGTGCGCCATATCCGTGGACGGGCCCGGAACTTCTTCGATCTTCACGGGGCTGTTGTGGAACCGTTTGTCTAGATAGAGGAAATTGAACAGACAAAAATCAAATGTCCAAGTCTTCTGGTGTATGTGAATCTGTAAATTATGCAAATATATTGTTTTATGTGGTTAATATGGCGAATTTAAAATTGACATTCTTTATGAAACACCCTGTACATTTAGGTATACATGGGAACCTAAAAACATATACCTCTGTTTGAGCCGAGTTACAACGTAAACAAAATGACCGAACTAATAATAGCCGATAACTTCGATTTCAAATTTTCGACAACGCATATCATTGAAACAATAATAGGTGAAGATCTCAAGATTTCCAATGCGCTAAACAACTAAATAAAAACGTTATATTGAACTGAAAGCATCCAATAGGTAGGCAGGATAGGGTTTTCCACTGATAAGTTGTTTTAGATAGACCGCCGCTAAAGGCGTTGCTGTTAAAACGGTTCAGCTAGTCTTTCTGTTCCAAACCATCCTCCATGAATAGCCAACAATGGCAGACGATTCGGGACTAGCCATCGTTATAACACTGATAGCCGAACCAGCCGACAGACCTGGAAGTAGGGCGACATGAAGGTGTTGTCACAGACGGTGATGATGCCCGGGTGTCGGCGGCAGACGGCCACCACCGCCTCCAGGTCAGCGATCTTCATCGTCGGGTTCGACGGCGTCTCCAGGTACACCATCTGACGGCGACGGTAATGGTGATGATGATGATATGATGATGGTGGTGGTGATGATGATGATGATGATGATGATGATGATGATGATGATGATGATGATGATGATGATGATGATGATGATGATATTTGCGTTTTGTTGGCTGGCTACAATTACGGTGTCAATCTGTCTCTCCGTCCGTCCGCATGCCCGTCCGTACTTCGCTCGTATGTCCTTCCGTCCGTCCGTCCGCCCGAACATCCGATCGTCCGAATGTCCATATTTCCGTCCGTGCTCTGTTGGTATGTCCGTCCGTCCGTCCGTCTGTCCGTCTGTCCGTATTTCCGTCCGTCCGTCTATCCGTATGTTCGTCCGTTCGTATATCGGTATGTCCGCTCCCCCACCCCCAAGCTATACGATCGTCGGTCTGCGCTGGTCGCGCGAGGCGGCCAATTCACGGCAGTGTGGCACGTGTGGTGTGGCACGTGTTACACGACACCATCTGCCTCAGGGGAGGGGGAGGGGGAGAGGTCTGCCGTCCTGGGCCGGCGGCTGGCCTGTGAAGGTTACGGGTGATGCGGTTATGTTCCATGTCACTCTTACGACACAGATCCACCGCACATGGAGTCTGGCAGGACTGGAAGGGCCAGGCCGGCCTGAGGACCATGGGGCCGCGTCGATAAGAGTAGTTATAACAAGTCTTTTTACCGTTTACATAACATGCAGTCAGTGGACGATTTGTGAAATCATGTACTAGCCTAACAAGTAACAAGTGTAATTTATGGCATCTATAATGTATTTATTTTTCGCCGGTTGTTATACTCTAAATCACATAAATAGTGCCGGCTTACACGCGCTGCTAAAACGTTGAGAGGCTCACATTTCGTACATCTCACTGGTCACCACTCATTTAGTATCTGGCAAGCCTATACTGACCTTGGTCTGCGGAGTGATGGCGCTCTCGATGAGCGAGGCGTTCCGGGCGTCCACGTAGCTGAAGACGATGCCGGTCCGCTCTGTGTGGTGTCTCCAGAGCGTCGTCGAGCCGCCGTAGACGTCGTCGCTGACGACGATGTGGTCGCCGGCGCTGAGCAGCATGGTGGCCGCCTTGACGGCGCTCAGGCCGGCGCTGAACGCCAGCCCTGCCGGACGGGGACGAAGGCTGAGAGTGGGGTTCTCAGAACGGCTAGCTACGCGTAGTGGAACAGCGGGCGCCATATGTAGACAGACCCAGCTGGTTGGTAGTGGACCCCCAGGCTAGCCGTTAGGTCTCGGCACTGGCTGGCCTGGCCATTCGACTAGGCAGTGAGCCTTCAGCCGTAACAAGCTCCCCACTCCCCAGTCCCCAAAACGACCGGTCGGCGGGGCAGCCAAGGCAGTGCGCTCTTTCACCCCCACCCCCTACCAACAGTTCCAAAACGACTGCACTGAGCGCACCTAATGGCCAGAATTCCACACACACAACACATGTTTACTTTCGCACAGATCTGTTTCAGGAGGAATGTATGTATACACTATACATAAACCGCATACCTTCCTTTTCACTGAAGTGTATAGTTGTCGTTAACATTTATAATTATGCTGCCGAGCATAATGATTTCACAGTGTATAATTATTTCAAGTAATCATTTATTATCCCGCACCGTAGACAGTGTTTACCATTGCTTCACGTGCAAAGAGAGAAAATTATCAGATGTTTAACCCGGCAGGCGGTGGGCCTCCTGGCCACCTTCTGCGCGGTGGGGGGGGGGGCATTTTTTTGCCCCCCCCGTATCTCCGAAACTACTGGACGGATCCGGAAAATTCAAACGACGTTCGATAGCCCTGTCAAATTTGTCGAAGGAAACCAAATTTCATTGACCTCGGGGTCACCGATGACGTCACAGGTCAGGTCAAAGATAAAATGTTTCACCGTTCACGGGGCTTCTAGGGAAAGCGCTGTAACACCGAGTAAAACGCATTTTGTCGAAAATCAGCGATAGGGCGTAAGTTGTCTAGTACATATGTTGCTATTAGAGGTCACTGGTCATACCAATTCAGGTCACAGGTCAGGTCACCAAAGGTCACCAAGGGTCACCACATGAACCCAACTTTACTAAGTTTGTGCGATGCATGTTTTATGGCCAGTTTTTCATTTCCAGCTCAATGATGTTGGTTATGAGACCATCAGGTACGGTTTAGGTCACTTTCTGGTGGAGATCAGGTCAAGGTCAGGTCAATAAAGGTCAAATTTCAAAGTGGATATTTTTGCTTAAAATGAGTATTGATTTGATGCAGCTCGTCACGGGGAGTCTAATGGTGGTCTTTGTTTTGCGCTACCAGGTCTAAAATTGCTAAAAATTGAGTTTGAAAATTTGTCGTCATCAATTTTGAACAGTTTTTTTCGCTATAACTTGGCCAAAAAAAGAGGCATTGATCTCAAATTTGGTATGTAGATAGAAGGCGATAGGGACTATCACATATATTCCGTTTTTTTCGAAATTCAAAAAACTTTTTGGATTTTTCGGCTATTATATTAAAAAATCTATTTTTTTATTTTTGGGGGTCAAAATTCAACAAAATTGAAAAACCGAAATGACAGTTTTGTAGCCCTGTTAATTTCACACCTTTTATGTCTGAAACGTTTTTCTATATCTCTAAAGCTGTAGGCCTGACAGCTCTTCCCGCGAAACCTTTTTCTGGGTCGAAAATGGCAGAGTTGACGTCACTCTGACGTCATTAGCGGCCAACCTATCACAGCCTTTGGAAAAAATTTTTGGTCACCATGTGCGCTAGCTACTCCCGGGAGGGTACTGAAAGTTTGGTGACGATTGGCGCAGCGGTTCTCGAGATATATCGAAAAAACTAAAGGGGGGGGGGGGCAAAAAATGCCCCCGCCCCACCGCCTGGAAGGTTAACTGACTTGTTAGACGTCTAGACGATTAACAAACTGTTAAACGTCTAGTAGACATTTCGTCTAGTCTGAAATATGTCGTTTTTTAAAATAAAATATATTATTTACCTTTAAGCACCCGAAAGATATCGGCGGTACGGGAAAAAATTATTAAACCGCTCGTAGGTAGAAAAATCTTTTAAACGTTGAGCCGATAGGCGAGACGTTCAAAAGATTTGTTTTACCTACTCGCGGTTTAACATATATACAGTTCTTTTATGGCAAGAAAAACGTCATTAAATCACAAATTGAACATTTTACTTCTTAAATTACTGAGAACGAAATGATTATTGTGGTGATTCGAGGTTTAAAATGATGTTATTGGACGTTATCATTTTAGTAAACTTTTATCTGTGATATTTATGCATGTGAAAAACATCATCATGTTAGTAAACGTCTGCAGCCGTCTAAAGCAAGACGGCTGCTCAATTACCGTATTTTCCATCTTCCAGCTTTGCGATGGCCTTTTCAATGATCAGTCTTGATGGGCTTCCCAGGCGAGAGTAAACGAACTCCTGCAATATGTGCACCGGCACCGGCGACCGAAAGTTAAATCAGCGTCAACGGTGTCATAATTACCGAATTACATATAAACAGGGTGAGACCGATTGCACGTCTAAGCCAATAGTCAACGTTTAACGCTAACTGAACGTTTTATAAAGGATCTTCCATCCCATCACCAACGGCCAAAAGTTTCTCTCTGAACAATGCATTCCATTTTCTAGCAATTTAACTGTGATTTAACTATTGACAAATTTAACGCATTATTATCACAGCTATGTCACACTGTCATCAGGTATGTTTAAGCTGACGTCCCACTGACCGCCGCTGAGCTCGTTAGCACATATTTGTGCGTTATTTAACCCTTTGTTATATAAATATTGCAGCCTGCCGGCGAACTCACGTCCCACTCGCCGCCGGGCTTCATGCGGTACGTGGAGGACAGTGTGATGGGCGGCACGATGGCGCCGTGCGGTATACACGTCTCGTCCAGACCACTGTGCACCACGCGCGTGGCAAAGTGCTCGTCCTGCGGCAGGTAGCCCTCCACAGACATGGTGGCGGTAGCTGAAATACGCCGAGTAACACACACAGAATAAGGATTGTGCAGGTATACGTGTACGTACATACCTAAGCGAGACAGCGATCCATGGCTGCTGATTAATAATAAAAAAATAGCCGTATGGAGGTCTGTTGACAACAAAAAGCTACGTATCACTTACTATCCTAGCTCCTATATAGTGCGTAGTCCACTACCCATAACTAACACATTCAATACTGAATGAGGTGTAAATAATTTGCTAGGCCTATCGTAATTCGAGAGTCACTGGCTGTTCAGCGCTGACACACCGCTGACTGCACTCACTCCAACTGCTGAGTTCAAGTCTAATACACTCACTCAGTAGAGTCAGTCGCGACAGCAATATCTCTGCTGACTGATGAGCATGAGCTACCTAGCGTTTTAATGCGCATCTAGATACCCTGGGTTGGTCTAACAGTCATCGGGTCATGATTATATTTCGATGAGTTTAACTACTGAGCTGTTGATAGTTTCACTTTCAATAACACCGCTCAGCTGCCGGTGCGGTACCGATAACTTATGCGCTAGTTTTTTTTAACCGCAGGTTGTTTGAAAAGACAAACACTATTCGTTAGAATTGTGTTTTTCTATTGAAAAACAACCGGAGCGGTCCTTCTCCGGGCTATGTTTTGCATGGTTGGCAGCGAATCAGTACAACTTGATTGGGGCCTAAACGAATCGCTCAATCTTCGTAAAAAGTTCAGGGTATGAGCTCCCGCAGGCGATCTACCTGATGGCACCGGTCGCTACTCGCTCAGAATTTTTTTTGCGCGTGGCACGTGCGATTCCATTTTTCCCATGTTAAGTCAACGGGGTTTTGGACACTTTTTGCGCAATCGCGAATAGCGGAAAAAATCGCGGATCAAGGTATGGTTTGCTGCACACCATTCTATGACCGACACGTTAAGGTACACGCCCGTGGGCGCCGTATACCCGTAAGAATTCGTTAACTTGAGTTGCACGAGTTTGAAGTTGAACTTTTTTTGCTCCCCATGCTAAGTCAATGGACGTTTTTGCAGAGACATTTTCATTCGTTCATTGCACAAAATTATATGATACGATTTTGTTTAAACTTTCAGGACCTGTTGAGAAACGACCATAGAACATGTTGTTATGCTTCATTATGAAATATAATGGGTATAATGGGCCTGTTTTGGGGTAATCGGCACGTGCATTTTCCCATAGGGTTAACATGGGAAAATTTAAAATGCGATTTGCGAAAAATTTCGTCAATTATATTTGCTGATATTTTTAGGGTCGGATCTCGGGCTGGCACCCCAACTGACGGTGGTAATTATTTAAAATATAATTGACAAAATTTCGGGTAATCGTCACGAACAGTTACCCCATGTTGAGCCTATGGCGATTTCGAAATATTATTTTCAAATCGATTTTGTCAAAAATTTCCATGTTAGATTTTGAAAATGTTCCAATATGTTGTGCCCCGGGGTGTCGGCTACCACATGGTATGGGTCAGATATGGGGCGATTGAAAAGCACGTGCCACATGCAAACGTGTTTGATGGGGTAACCTCCGGGAAAATCCGACATTGGCCTACTCGGGGTCCTATGGCGTGGAAACGACTTCAACTAGCGACACCAAATCAGTGCAGCCGGTGAGCAGATGAGTCCAGCTTGTCGCACTAGTGGTCACGTGTCGCACGTGCTATTGCACGTGCCGTGGCACGGGGTCAATTTTGGTGCTTAAACATACTAGCATTGTGAAATGCAAGGAGTGGGGGAAATAGCCGTCAGGCCGTCAGTTTTTATGATAGGGTCGATCTGAAAATGGGTTTAGGCACAGAATGAAGGGGGCTACAAAACTGCTATCTCAGATTTTTTGTAAAATGAAAAATTTAAAATTCTGGGGAAATTATGTATTCGGAAGGTGAAATTTCCCTAAATTTTCCCGTTTTTTGAGTTTAGCCGTCCACTGTTCAGAGACGGTGATACGGCCGGGGTCATCTTTTACATGCTGATGGCCACGTCGATGGGTCATCACGTGGCGTGAACGGTGAAACTATCAGAGGTCCGGCACGTGCCACGTGGCCACGTGTTTGAGTCGCGTACCTCCCAGATTATCGTGTATTTGCCGATTTGTGGCCTTATAGCACGAAAACAGCACAAGCCAGGAACACTGAAATGGTGCAATCAGTGAGGGGACAAGTCCTGCTTACACCACCGGCGGTCACGTGGCACAAGTGCAGATTTGGGCACCTCCGTTGCGGAGATATTTTATTGTGAAATATTCAAATGAACATAACTTTGTCAGTTTAAGTCCAATTGGGCTGGACTTTGGTGGGTGGATAAAATTGTTAAGTGACAGGAACGAATGCGCCACGTTTGTCGCAGTGCGCCACGTTTGTCTCAAAGCGCCATTTTTTCCGCAAATCACAGAATGTGCGTAACTTTATCGAACATGGGACGATTAGGATGCGCTTTGATTGAGGGATGGCTGCCTAAACGGCAGATATGAATACACCACACTTGCCGCAAGGCGCCATATTTGTCTTAATGCGTCAGTGTTTACGTTTAACGGACGGTATTTTCATGTGCCACGGTTGGGGTGCAGCTGCACGTGCGCACGTGTAGGGGTCGCTTCAAGATAGCACACCGACTCCGGTCTGCACGTGCAAGGCTCATCCTCTCGTTTGGCGGCGGGCGTTTTTGCTGCGTTTACAAAGGTGCTTGCTCAAACAACCTGCGGTCCCGCGATGCGGAGCCCAGCATCGCAGATGCTGGTTTAGCAGTGCAGTAGGTACGGTGAGTAAAAGACAGTAAAGATAAACTGACCTTTGGTGACCTGGTGGCCCATTGCTGGTGCAATTTTTGTCACCATTAAAATTGAGATACGCATTAATACGCATCAAAATGCATCAATACAAAATACAATGATGCATTTGGAACGTCCGTAAACGGCTATACCTATACATTTCACTTTCATCTCACTTTCAAGTCTTTTGCGAACACTGGACGGGGCGAAAACGTGGTTTATCGGTCGTGACAAAGTAGTGAGCTCTCTCACCTCAGAGTCAGTAGCCGGGATCTGCGACACGCACACGTTCCACACAGCGAGTCTGACGAGCCGGGCCTCCGCTCCGGGGTCCTCTGCTGACAACTGTGAGTTGTCCGAGATACTCCGGGCCTGAGACGGCACTGCGGGGGCCATCTGCCGGGAGGGACCAAGGCGGCCGACACAGCCGGTATACCCGGGCGGCCGTCTGTCTGTCCACCAGCAGAGAGAAAACAGTAAACTGTGTTTACAGCTACTCAGTTATGTTTACATGTAAAATAATGGTGAGTGCATGCATGTGAACATGGTGTTTGGATATACGAAGTGCCAGAAGATGTTTTTGTTTTTAATGTTTTTCAGCGTCATCAGCTCACTCTAGTGCAGAGAGCATAGTGCTCGTTTTTACCCCAAAACTTTAGATCAGTTAGGGTCCGACCATGCTGTTGCCCTGAGCCGTTGAAAAAAATGAAGCATAGCCAATGCCATTGCCGGAAAGCTTAGGTCTCAGATCAGCCAGCCCATTTTGTTGCCAGGTCAACAGCTAAAGTAGACCAAAACAATCGTGAATCGAAGCTTCCTTGTTCGGGTGTTTGAAGCTACGCTACATGATAGAGGCGAAATCTTAGAAATGGTAGAGACGACTGCACTTATCAGCGTATAGTCACCAAAATAGTTCGAGGCTGAGCTACGGGCTAGCGCTAGGCCCTGAATCAATGGGCTGTTGGGACAGACGGACCAGTAACTCAGGTAAATGGAACCGGGGGCACGCACGGCGTCTCAGACAAAACTTTAGCTAGATAATAGGTCAGGGGCGCGGGAACTACTTTCAGACTGGGGGGCACACCATGATAGAGATCAGCCTAGGGTACCCCAAATTTAGTTTTCCCGCCGGTTTTAGGCCACTTATTTTTCATCCCTTGGCTTTTTCAGCACAAAAAGAAAACATTTGCAAAAAAGTGCGGTATTCCGTCTCAAAGTTGTGGGGGCACCGCCCCCACGGCCCTAGAGTTGGGGGGGGGGCAAGCTACCCCCACTGCACCCCCGGGTCCCGCACCCATGTAATAGGTTATCAGTGTACATTGCAGAATGAAGGTGCATGCCAGATCAGTCAGATGAATGCTCTTGGGCCACTGAATGGCGTAGCGTGAAATTGATTTTATCATTTCATGATTTTCGAATTCCAAGCCTAAAAATTAAAAATTAAAATTTTAAACCACGTACGGCTTACCTACAAACTTTTTACCATGTACAGGTAAAGACTGGATTGAGCTTTTTGTCATTTTGGTCCGTGGCGACACTTTTATTGGCCCAAGCACCTACAGGTAGGTAGGTAATGTCCTATTTGTTTGTTTGTTTGTTTTGTTGGGTTAGGCCCTTTCGGTCCAATTAGACCATTTCAGAGCCGGAAGGATGATAGGAATTAGGGGGAGACATTGGTCTGGGCAGGCACCCTAGTGAGTCACCGGGGCTGAGCCCATCCCGAATGACAGGCCGACCAGCTCCAAGGTACTCACTGCACCCGGCTACGGGGTGCGCTCCCTCGGGAGCAGCGGTGCCGCTCCAAGGGAGCAGCCCGCAGGGATAAAGCTGCCTGTCCAGCTCGGAGGGGTTTGCGGCGTAGAGGAGAAGGACTTCTGTATCCTGAGGGTAGAAGCACGGAACGGTGTGACTCCTAGGTGAAGTGTAAATGCATGGCTAAATCAGATGTGTCATGTAAATGCATGGCTTATAAGATTCTTAGCGTGTTTTTCGTCGGGAAAGTTGCCACTCTATATTTTTCTCTTTTATCGAAAACTGATTCTTTTTCTCATCAAATAAATATATGAAATCATGCAAAAATTATTGGATATTGATGTAAACTTCTTCCTTTACAAAATATTTTAAAAGTATTAATGTTTTGTACGTAAATATGGTTTTCACCTTAGGCAGCGCCGCGAAAGTTCCTTTTCCTGGCGTTGAAGGTAAATATTGTTGTATGTGATTGGTACGTAAAGAAATAGATATTTTGTTGATGATATGAGTCTGTTTTTTTGTTTAATCTGCTTGATCAAGGTTGAAAGATTCCCTTCCTGTAGCATTTTATTGAAATGAACCGCAGATACATGCATATTTCCCTCGTCGGCGCAATGCTGACGGTTCTGACGCATCATATTCATTTGTCTGTTGTGTGTTCATTGTGCAGAGGCCATTATTATAAAATAAAATCTGAGCCAGCTGCAATTTTTTTTCCTGAGCTGTAAAGAGGAACTGGAGGATGCATGTCAAGCACGCATGTATGTTAATAATGAAAATTCAAAGGCGGTTGTATTTCAATTTAGTTAGGTTTTTATTTGCAGCCGATAGCTTGATTTTATTTGATAAAATGGCCTCAGTTCTTGGAGCTCATTAGCTCATGACGTTTTTGGGTACATTCTGGCAGTATTTATGTAACCATGAATTTTTGTTGGACTTGCAATTTGTTGTTTCCAGGCCCATGTCACTCCACTTTTGATGACATCATAAGGGGGCCTCAGGACAATAATGGCGCTGTGCGCCACAATCGCTTCAAAGCTACTTGCCAACCGTTGCCATTTTTGAAAATATTATTTTGAAATAAAGTTACAAGTAATAAAAATATTGCAATAAAGTTGTTGATTAAATCAATACCATATCTAAAAACTTACTGTAAAATGATTTCTTCATAGTAAAAATGTAAGCTTGATGCGTTTTTATGTTGCTTTCCTGCAACTGCAGAGGATTTTTAAATCGTCTATATCTTCGAAACCGGCCATTTCTTAGCATATTGCTGATCTTTTTTATCGCTAGAAAATTAGTTGGACTTTCCAATGACAATGGTTGAGCGATATGTGTAGAGTGTCACCAACAATCTTCAAATGAAGTTAGTCATTTTTATGTTGTAAAGGAATGGAGCACCTCTTGCGAGCATCAGGGGTGACGTCACTCAGGATCTGTCTCTGATTGGTCGGTGGGGGAGTGACTGTACCTTCTATAGATGGCCTTGGTTGTTTCTGAAATGCCATTCAATTTGTGTGTAACCCCTCACTCCAGTTAATGAATTGTTTTTGCCATGCAGTGTGAAATTGGATTGTGTCCTGTTTGCAGTACATCAAGCCAAGGGGCCACAATGGCTGACACTGAGACTAAGAAGATGAAGAGGAAGCACCTCAAGCTGTATTCTAAGGCTACGTTTACCGGCTACAAGCGTGGCCTCAGGAACCAGTACGAGACCTTTGCTCTCCTGAAGCTGGAGGGAACCTTCAATAAGGAGGATGCTAAACACTACCTTGGCAAGCGCTGTGTCTACGTTTACAAGGTGAGTGGGCTGGAACACAACGCAGGGTCAGTTCAGCTGTATGCTTTTCAAGACAATAATCCAGGCCTGTACCTTTTAGAAATAGTTTTTAATTTCTACAATTAGTTTCTCTGTCTGATTTCATAGAAATCCTTGCCAGTGATACACCAAAATTCAACATACTTTACTCAAAGCAAAGTCTTGAGTGAGTATGTTCAAGGGAGCTCATGGCAACATTTCACCATACTCCAGTTGCATTCATAAAATAAGTGTTGAAATTACATTTTTCCAACTTCAGACAGTTTAGACATCTTTGCTTGATATTAGCTACGTTTCCCTGGCACAAGTAAAGCAGATTTTGCAAAATGGGTTTGGTCCTTCATAGCATTTCAGCATCATTTAAAATCGTAACTATCAGATTAATTGCTATCTAAAGCCATATATATGCTCATTTACTGATAAAAGTTAATAGTATCCAAGAAAACGTGTGTGAAATTTTGTCAAATCGATTCAGCTATGTCATGGAAATGCAGTGATTGTTTTGGCCCACTGCAGCTGGGGTGGGCGGTTGTGACTGTACCTATTCAGTATTCACTGCATCCAAAACTAGTGTATGCTGAATAGTTATGCTGAATCATCCTGCTCAAAGTGAAGTGAATGCTGAAGCTAAGCTTTATGCTCCTTTGGTTAACCCAAATTATGATAAATGATTTGATAGATTGCTATGATATTGCATGTTATTTAGATGTCTTCTAGAGACAAGGTGAAAAGTTTGATCAATGTTATTTTTATATAAGTGGTAGAATATGTAGCTGAGCTAAATGTGACATTGCTTTGAGCAGTCTAACCCTATTAATGTAATGCATGGCTGGTCAACTAATGGTATGTTGAGACATAATTGAGGTTCAGTTCCCATTAGTCTCTTTGGTACTAATTGTGATACTTAAATCTTAATTGGACACTTAACCCTCGCCCGCACATGCCATTTTCCCATCCTAGAACGCACATGGGGGGGGGGGGTGGTTGCCACCCCCCCCGCGCCATTTCGTTCCTGTTGGAGATAGAGCTTAGCGGTAAAGACCAAAAAGATTCTTTGGGAAGAGACGAATCCAATGATACCCAGTTTTACCTTCTCAGGTCAGTCATTGACCTTCCAGGTCAGGTCAAACTAAAAAATGTTGCTGTTTTGGGTCACCGTTGGATATCAAGTGCGCTGCTTATCAAATACCGATGACGATGCTGTTTTCTGGTGCCAGGCCAGCTAGAACCTCTTTGTCACACTACCCGACCAGAATTTTGCGGCTGAGGTCATTTCAGGTCAAGTTAGGTCAAGGTCAATTATATGTGTTTGTATGTCTGTGTGTGTCTGTGTGTATACTGATGTGTGCACCGATTGTTTTTGGGTCCATATTACATGAAATCATGCTCAGAGAAGCTTTTACCAAAAATGCAGTCAAAAAAATTCAAAAAAAGTAAATTCAGCTTGCCTAAAACGCAATTATCTTAGATGACCTAGGTTGACCTTGACCCTGACCTTGACCCCTGTACATCGTCGAACAACATGTTCCATGATAGGTGGGAGTTAATACTGGCAAAAAAGGCCGAAATCAGGGTGTCAAAAGCTCGCAAGACCCATGGCAAACGCAAGATGTTGAGAATTGGCCATTTGGGTCATGACATGACCTGAAAAACAAGGTCATATCTCCGAAACCAAAAATCACAGAAACTTGAAATTTTCAGTGGACGTCAAGAAAGGATAGAGGAGCAGCTATACGAAAAACCAGCGTTCTAGCGCTAAAAATGTTGAGTGCAGAGCAGAAAGACTACCTGGGGGGGGGGGGGGTGGCAACCACCCCCCCCCATGTGCGGGCGAGGGTTAAAGATTGGACAGATGTTCTATTTGAAGAATGTGGTATGACAGTTTGACGTTTGTAGCATTTCAGCATCATTACATATGTGCTCACATCATTATATATGTGTTCACATTATCGCTTTTCATATTTGAAGAATCTTATAGGAAATCTTGTGCGAGTGAATGAAATGAGCACATTGATGTTATGTATTCCTCATGTCATGACCTTCATATATATATATTTTCTTGTGTGTGCAGAAAACAGTTCCTGTTCCCTTGCTTAGATTTGTTTGTGTTTGTATGTGTGTGTGTGTTTTTAGCAAAGTATGTGTCCATGTGTGTACATTAAAAAAACAAGTTTTTTAGATATTGATCTGTTCATAAGATCTTTTATTTTAGTACATTCGAACATGAACACGGTGGTTGTATGGTACGGTTGACGTACGGCACCGATGCCTCATTGTTTCGTCGTGTTTTAGTGGTATTAATGGACTAATGGTATCTTTTCCTGTGGCAGGGCAAGAACAAGTCTCGGGTGCCGGGAGCGCCCAACCAGCACAAGAACCGCCTGCGTGCCATGTGGGGCAAGGTGGTGCGGATCCACGGCAACAGCGGCTCGGTACGCGCGCAGTTCAAGCGCAACCTGCCTCCGAACGCTATGGGCAAGACTGTGCGCGTGATGATGTACCCCTCGAGGAGCCAGTGATCCAATACAGTGACTCGACCACAGTGTGAGTCTGGCCGGGCGGCACGGGCAGAGTGGCGGGGTGTGGGCGGTGATCGGTGACCGTCGGGGTCGGGTGTGGAGAGCGGCTGGGAACGGTCCAGAGCGCGGCGCCGCCACCGTCAGCTGTTCGACACTAGGTGGCGCCACAGCAGCCAGCGAGTGAGGTGACTCTATGGCGGAACAGCTTCCCTAACACTGCACGGGAACTACGCTTAGTGACAGCCAACCAACCAACGCAAATTGCAGCACCGATATCCACAGCTCCAATAACACTCGCTATTAATCGCTTGAAAAAAATCCAGCTTACTTTTCTTTAGATTTATCTGGCTGTAGTTTTTGAACTATCGTACTGGAGGGGCATTATCTGATCAAATTATCAGACCAGATGGCGGCAATGTGCTTGTTTCGCTTATCATAATTGCTTTGTTACCTCTGTAAACTGATGAAAGACGGCCAACCTCACCAGTTAGCCGTTTTCCAGAACTCTCATGGACCGAAACATATTGATAGCCTTTAGTCGACGGCTATCCAAAGTCCTAACGTTACGCATAATGAAGCAAAATGATCACTCGAAATGGGTCCTATGATCAAACGTGTTTCTGAATCACAGCCTATTTCCAGACGGTAGGGTTACATTCGGTGGCCATGCGGCCTCATTTTCGCCATTGGGTACTTCATAGTGAGGGGCAACCTTCTGAAGTACGGTCAGAAGCCAGAAGTTCTGACTGACCTCGCTCCACTGACGACCATTGTGGAAATTCCGAGCTACTCTAAGAGCTGCCACCGGTATATCTAAAGTTACTATGAAATTTATGTTATGAAAATCATTTGCGAAATAAGGCATCTGCGTCGCACACCAATTACGCCGTAATAACGTTGGTCTAACGCTCTCTACAAACACAATTACACAATGAATCAAGCTCCTACTCTGTCCTCGGTCCGTTATTGGATATTTCTGCCTGGTCAGCAATGGTCATAGGCCCGTCTACAGATTTTGCCACGGCAATGCTTGTTGAGTAACTATTACGCCGCCATTCCATTATCCTTCATATCAAAACTGAGAGATATCTGGTGTGGCATATAAAGGCTACTGAGTCGGAGTCGCTTGGAGTCGATAGTTCTGACCGGAGTCTGAGTTAGAGTCGGGGTTAGTTTTTGGAAGCCGGAGTCGGAGTGGGAGTCACTGAAAATCCATCGACTCCGCTGCCCTGGACATGACCATCGGCGAAGCTGTTTTTCGAAGACTTTCAAACGCGGCTTTTCGTTTCTCAATCGTATCATGATACCTACACCGCAAAGCAAACCGTGCATTTTTTATAGGTTTTATGCAGGGATGCGGAGCCGTGGAAATTTCAGACGGCTCGGGCTCCGGCTCCGGCTCCGGCTCCGGGTGAAATGTTATGGCGGCTCCGGCTCCGGCTCCGGCTCCGAGTAAAATGGTCCGGCTCCGGCGGCTCCGGCTCCGACTCAGTACATCCCCTACGCAATCAATTAAATACGGGTGGAAGAAAAATTGGATTGGTTATACGCGTTACTCTTTGCCATGACCGGCTCACCGCGTCCCCGCGCAAACGCACCTCGGAGAGAACTGGCAGAACAAAGGGCTAGGAAGCGATGGCATTGGAAACGCAGTCGCCGCGAATCGGAGTTCAGTGAACCATCGTAAGCTGACACCCGTCTCGGCTGCATTGGGGGATGAGGGGTGGGGGGTGTTTGGGATGAGACGGTGCTGGGAGTCGCAGTCCACTGCACTGGTTTGAAAACAATGGCCGTCACCTGATGACTGGTCCTAATGTTCTGGGGATGCAGTAGACGTGGGGGGGGGGGGGGGAAGAGCAAACAGGAAGTTGTTTGCGTACTGTGGGGTACTGGGGATATTCGGATTTTTTCATTCACTTGATGGCCCATGACGTAAGTACCATATGTTTTACTGCCTTGTACTGTCAAACCGAACTAGGTCAATTATTTTTTTTCCTCTTCAAAAAATAAAAAGGAGCCGGAGTCGCCCCCTTTTTTGGCGGCTCCGGCTCCGGCTCCGGCTCCGGGCTATATTGTTTCACGGCTCCGGCTCCGGCTCCGGGCAAAATATGCCGGCTCCGGCGGCTCCGGCTCCGACTCCGGCTCCGGCTCCGCATCCCTGCTTTTATGGAATATTATGAATAACGCTTTTGCTGTTGATGGCAGTAGTCGGGAAACGAGTGAAACGTGAATTTTTGGGCCGAGCATCGTTAGTGGTAAAAAACTTTGTGAACGCTCAAATGTCATTTTGAGTCAATGATTTGACATCAATATTTGACATCAATGATGTCAAATATTATGCCTCAACACCGGTTCTCGATCGTTATCGTCTTATAGAAATGGCCAAATTGCCCACCCTTTAGGTACATAAACGGTCCTCACTATTGCTCGGAGTCGGGAATTTAGAGATTTCTGACTTGACCAAAAATGACCCCAGATCTCAGAGGAATGTGGGCTGTGGTAGCCTCAGACGCGCACCCCACCGAACACGGTGCGCAGTGGCGCAGCGGGCTCCCGAGCAGCCAGAAAAGGACGCCGGGCAATCACGGCTGTGGGTGCTCCCCCGAGCTGCCTGCCCGCCCTCAGTAATTGATCAGCGAAGTAGCCAGCGGACACGGACGGCGTCAACAATCAGGGCGACAGGCAGACGTCCGGATCGGCCGTGTCGAAACTGCGGTGCACAGCTGGTTGTGTTTTTCTTAGGTGAATGTCCATCCGTTCCTTGTTTATTTCTTGAAATTTCGATGAATGTTAAGTGTATACCTACAGAGGCGGATCCAGCTCAGAGTTTTTTTGGGGGCAAACCATAACAATTTATCGATTCTTTCCATGCATCGTCCATAGGCGTAATGTTAAAATTCTGCCGTTGGGGGGGCAAATGCCCATTTTGCCCCCCCCCCCCTGGATCCGCCACTGTATACCTACGTTTTTAAACCGGCATGTCAAATATTATCAGCCTTGATTTGGTGTCTTTAGTAGGATTTCAATCCAAAAGAGACTCCTCTGTTCTTTTCAGTTTTCCACACAATAACACATTCTACGCCAGTACCAGGCTGGTACTGTAGTTGTGTTGTGTTGTGGCGGCCTCCTGCCTGGCGGTACCGTGGGCTGTGAGCCACGTGCCGCACTGCAGTTGACAGCTGCCGCCGGCTGGCCGCCGACCGGCAGAACTTATACGGCCTTGCAGTCACCGGCGGCGCCGCTGAGCGTGTGGCATTGCGTTTCGCTGTCGCACGGTATATAGAGAACTCGCTGTCGCTTATGTGTTAAATACCAGTAAAACGCCTTTTGGGCGAAGAACGAGCGAGCGAGATAGTGAGCCCTGCACGTGCGGAAGGGCGAGAGGGTGCTTCCAACGGGCTTGCGCAAAGCACCCTTCTAACCGGTCGCTAGCGGTGTGCCAAATTTGAACGCAATCGGCCCAGCCGTTCCTGAGATCTGGAAGCGGCATTCTGCACGTGCGCACGTGCAAACGGGGTCCAAAATGACTTTTGCACGGCACCCTACTAACTGGTCCCCAACCGTATACCAAATTTTAGCGCAATCGGCCCAGCCGTTCTCGAGATCTGGAAACGCCCCCTGCACGTGCGCACGTGCAGTAGCACCCTAACCTCAACACACGGGAATGCATTGCCTGGTGGGTGCCTACCTGTATGCCAAGTTTCAGCAAAATCGCCCCAGTAATTACCGAGTTACTGAAATGGGAACAAATTTGGCACCTCTTATTGTTGTATTTTGCACGTGCACTGGGGGTGACCCACATGCATCGAGAGTATCCTATTTTGGGTAGAAGGGATGCTGCTACCCTACAAAAATTACCGCAAGTCAATCGCCCAAGCGGCTGCTGAGATATGAGCCTCTCAAAATCACTACTTTTGCAAAACAGCTTGAACACCCTTGACTTTTCACGTGGCACGTGCCACGACGGTCACTCAGATGTATCAAAAGTAGTCAATTACGGGGTAGAAGGGATGGGGCTACCCAACAAAAAAGACCGCAGGCCAATCGGTCCAGCGGTTGCTGAGATATAAGCCTCTCAAAAGCGTTACAGGCCGGGCCGGGCCGGGCCGGGCCGGGCCGGGCCGGGCCGCTCATACTGAGATTTTTCCGTTATATTGAAAAGACTCACTTCGCTCGCTGCGCTCGCTCGCTCGTAATAACTGCTCTCACTGGAAGCCGACTCCACTCTTACTAACTGGCGTGGTGGCAGCGTTTTCCCACGTCCTCGAACAGTCGGCTCTCCATTCTTTTGGCCAGTGAGCCTTGCTTTAAAGGAAAAGGGCCACCTTCGTGAAATATGAAGATATCGTTGTTTTTCATTTTGACATTATTATTCTTCATTTTCTTTTTAAAACTGGTGCCAGAAGTGCACGATTCGCGAAAAAGTATTTAAAACTATTTAACATATTGGTACTATGTTGATACTCTCTACGGCACCTACTTTATGATGGCATAGCGATGACGTCACACTCAAGCCAATCAGCGTTCAGAAGACAGACTCGTCGGATTGTGTCAGATAAGCTGATTGGTTAAAGCTGAGCTGGTTGGAGCTGATTGGTAAAAAACCAAAGCCTCGCCGCGGGTGGCTGTATTGTCGGATAAGAACGCATTCCTGGGATAAGGACGCATTCCTGGCGTATTTTCTTTTAAAATTGCCGATAACTACGAATGGAGGCCGAAACCGGCCGTAAGGAGGTAGACGGACAGGTTTTCGGACATGGGCTACAAGATGGCTATCTCAGTTTCAATCCCCATGTTAAAGGTGGCCCTTTTCCTTTGCATTGTAACGGCAGTTTATTAATCAGGATGGCGGCGCGTGCTCCAAAGCAGTGGCCGCTGACTCGACACGAAACTATAACGTCCTTTGAAAACTGGCGCCAGAACCTGGAATACACATTGTCACTGGATCCGAACTTCTCCAAGTTCCTTGAGAGGAGTGTCACCTGGTCAAAGAAGACTGCTGACAACCCGCTTCGTGGCTTCACGGACGATTCGGACTGTCCCAGAATCGCTGCGGCTCACCGCCGTCCAACGGGCTGCCCAGCTGGAGCTGATGCTCGGGCAAATTGCCAATTTTTGTCCCGTCATTTCAAGGAACACGATCGTCAAAAATTCAACTAGCCTGTCCGCCATTTGGCAGGCGATTCGTCTACACTTCGGATTTCAATCGACCGGTGCACACCTGCTGGATTTTGCTAGCATTCGCCGCGAGCACGGGCGACCGGAGGACCTATTTCAACGTCTGATGGCGTTTGTGGAAGATACACTTCTCACCACAGATGCCGGCATTTCCCACCACGGCGTGCTGCCCTCGACGAATGAAGACATGTCACCAACCCTGGAGAATCTGGTATGTCTCCACTGGCTAAGTCTCCTTCACACCGGTCTGCCCGCCCTGGTCAAGCAACGGTACGGACCGGAGCTACGCTGCCGCACACTGGCCTCTCTCAAGCCCGAGATTAGTCAGTCCCTCGCGTCTCTGATGGACGAACTGCGCTCTGCCGAAGATGCCCAGGTGTTGCGCTCAGCCGCCGCCAGCTTCAGCCGCGCGCCCTCCCGGCCCGCATCCACGGCCGGCCGGACACAGCCGCCTGTTGGAACCGCCGCCGGTCAGCCCCGAACCGCCGCTGCCGCCGGCCGATCCGCCGCAGCCGCCGCCGCGGGCGGCGACCGCCGGACTCAGCGCCCGGCCCGCTCCTGTGCCCTGTGCAAGGCGGCCGGCCGCCCGGAGAGCGACTCCCACTTCCTGAGCCGGTGCCGCTTCCTGCCTGCGTCTGACCGACGTTTCATGGCCGGTATCCGACTGATCGCCGGCTGTGATGTCGACGCCGACTTCGACGAGCCTGAGGACGACGATCCAGTATCTCCCACTCCAGCGGACGAGCACGTACGTAACGACCTGAGCGGCTCTGCCCGTCGTGTACAGCCCCATCCCTCTCCCTACCTGCCCGTGCACTGTGCTGAGCACCCGCTCCGTGTAACGCTGGATACCGGGGCCGAAATAAACCTGGTTCATGTCACAGTCGCGTCGCATATCGGTGCCTCAGTGAAAAGGTCGACACAGACGGCCCATCAGGCTGACGGCCATTCACAACTCTCTGTCGTTGGTGAAACAACCCTGTCTCTGACTCGTGGGGCTCACGTGCTCACTCTCCATGCCCTCGTTGTTGAAAGCCTTGATGTTGATGTGCTGGCCGGTACGCCCTTCATGTCACTGAATGACGTGTCAGTGCGCCCCGCTGATGGTACTGTGTCTATCGGGGATGATGTTGTCTTTCATTACGTCAATCCGGCTCACAGCGCCCCTGACCCCTCCGCCCGCCGTGTCCAGTGTCTGGTGCGGTCTCCTTCCGAGACCGTCACTGTGTGGCCTGATGATTATGTCGAGCTCGATGTACCGGACATGGACCGTGACTCGCTGGTGTCTGTTGAGCCCTGGCAGCCGTCCTCCCTCGGTGACCCTGATGCCGACCCATGGCCCCGCCCAACAGTGACGTCAGTGGTGGCCGGTAAACTCCGCGTTCCCAATGACACCCGATCTCCCCTGCGTCTGAAAAAGAACTCCCATGTCTGTAAGGTGTATGCGATGTCCCGGCCCTCTTCTCTCCCCGAGTCTCTACCGTCCTCTCCCGCCCCCCGGGCGCCGATTCAACAACCGGGATCCGAGTTAGTCTCCATAGACCCCCACGGACTCCTTTCCGACTCAGTGCGCTCGGACTTTGCCTCTGTGGTCGCCGACTATGCTTCCGTCTTCGATCCTGTCTTCCCTGGTTACAATGGCGCCGTGGGCTCCATTCACGGGGTGGTCAACATCGGTTCGGTCGAGCCGCCACAGCGCAAAGGTCGTCTTCCCCAGTACAACCGGCAGCGCTTGACCGAGCTCCAGTCTAAGTTCGACGAGCTTGAGTCGCTCGGCATATTTCAGAAGCCTGAGGATCTAGACGTGCATGTCGAGCACGTTCATCCGTCCTTCCTCGTAAACAAGCCGGGTGGGGGCACCCGTCTGGTGACCGATTTCACCGCTGTGGGCCGATACTGCCGGCCGCAACCCTCTCTTCTACCCGATGTAGAGTCAACGTTGCGCACCATTGGCGGCTGGAAGTATATGATTGTTACCGATCTCACGAAGGCCTACTTTCAGGTACCGTTGTCGCGCGACAGTCTCAAATACTGTGGTGTCGTGACTCCGTATAAAGGTGTCCGCGTCTACACCAGATGTGCCATGGGTCTCCCCGGCTCAGAGTCCGCCCTAGAGGAGCTTATGTGCCGGGTACTTGGTGACCTGATCCAGGACGGTCGGGTAGCCAAGATCGCTGATGATCTGTTCTGTGGCGGCGCCACACCCGAGGAGGCTCTCTCAGCCTTTCGATGTGTCCTGCAGGCGCTGGACCGATCGAACCTCCGTCTATCTCCCTCCAAAACTGTGGTCTGTCCTCGTTCCGTCACCATCCTGGGCTGGGTATGGTGTGAGGGCCGTCTTTCGGCCAGTCCGCACCGTATCGCCACTCTAGCATCGTGCGAGCTCCCACGCACTGTGAAAAACCTGCGAAGCTTCATCGGCGCCTATAAGGTGCTCGGCCGCGTCATTAAAGGTGCTGCGGCCCTGCTGTCGCCCCTAGATGCCGCCTGTGCAGGCCGGGAGTCTGCCGAGAATGTCTCGTGGTCTGATGAGCTCCGCACCGCTTTCACCAGAGCTCAGTCCGCCCTCAAGAGCCACCGCTCCGTCGTCCTGCCGCGGTCCTCGGACCAGCTCTGGATTGTCACCGACGGGTCCTGCAAGTCGCACGGTGTCGGTGCCACTCTGTACGTGACCCGCGGTGACCGTACCCTCCTGGCTGGCTTCTTCAGTGCTCAGCTTCGCAAGCATCAGCTACGCTGGCTCCCGTGCGAGATCGAGGCGCTCGGTATCGCCGCTGCCGTCAAACACTTCTCACCGTACATCACCCAGGCGACGTCTCCTGTCTCCGTGCTGACTGACAGCAAACCGTGCGTGCAGGCTTTCGAAAAGCTGGGGCGGGGTGAGTTCTCCGCCAGTCCCCGGGTCACCACGTTCTTGACCACCATCAGCCGGTACTGCCTGACAGTTCGGCACCTCGCGGGGTCCGCCAATCTCCCATCAGATTTTGCCAGCAGAAATGCTCCAGTCTGCACAGACTCATCTTGCCAGGTCTGCTCGTTCGTGTCTCGCCTTGAGGAGGCCCCAGTCCGGCAGATCACTGTGAATGACGTCATGTCTGGCTCCTGTCGGCTCCCATTCACAGGTCGTAACTCGTGGCTTCACTCCCAACAGGACTGTCGGGATGTGCGACGTACTAAGGCTCATCTCTCCCAGGGCACTCGCCCCTCCCGCAAACAAACCAACATCCGCGATGTCAAACGCTACTTGCAGGTCGCGTCTCTCTCAAAGGACGGCCTGCTCGTCGTGCGTCGTGATGAGGCCTTCGCCCCAGCTCGAGAGTGCATAGTAGTCCCCCGCCAGGTGATGCCTGGGCTGTTGTGTGCTCTCCATCTGAAGTTCAAGCATCGTTCTCAACACCAGCTGAAACAGCTGTTCTTGCGTTACTTTTATGCCCTCGATCTTGACTCTCATCTGGCGACCGTGTATGACGGCTGTCATCCATGTGCCTCGCTCAAGCGCCTCCCACCCCCGCTGGTAGTGAGCTCCACCTCACCGCCCTCTGCTGTCGGCGTTTCGTATGCCGCCGACGTGCTCCATTTCGGACGCCAACTGATTCTGGTGGTGCGCGAGAAGGTGACTTCCCATACCCTGACCTGTTTTATCAGTGATGAGCGCGCCTCCACGCTGGAGGAAGCCCTGATTTCCTTGTGTGTCGCTCTGCGTGCTGTGGATGGCCCGCTTATAACGGTCCGTGTGGACCCTGCCCCCGGTTTCGTCGCTCTCTCCGACAGTGAGGCCCTACATCAGGCGGGCATCAAGCTGGAGGTCGGCCGGGTTCATAATCCCAACAAGAACCCATGCGCCGAACACGCCATCGGCGAGCTCCGTGGTGAGCTCAAACGCGCCCTTCCGGAGGGCGGCCCAGTCTCTTTGTCAGCTCTAGCCATGGCCACTTCTCGATTAAATTCACGTCTACGCCGCGGCGGCCTGTCAGCCTTCGAGAGGCTGTTCTCCCGCGATCAGTACAGCCATACTGCCCTCAGCACCTCCGACCGCGAACTCATTGCCGAGCAGCAGTCCTCCAGACTGCAGAACCATCCGTATGATCACGTATCCAAAGGTCGTACTCACAGTCACGTGCCTCCGTCAGTTATCACACCCGGTGTGCTCGTGTACCATGCTGGTGATCGAGATAAGGCTCATGCTCGTCCTCGGTACCTTGTTACCAGTGTTGATGGAAACTGGTGCCGAGTGCGAAAGTTCGCCGGCTCGCAGCTTCGCGCCAAGTCGTATAAATTCCACGTGAGCGAATGCTACACCGTGCCGACCATACCCGCGCCACTCGCTACCGCTCACTCTCTGTCTGCGTCTTCGTCCGATGAGGACGAGCCCTGTCCCGTCACCACGCCGCCCCTGGGGTGTCCTGTCCCTGCGGAGATCTCTGGCGGCGCCCTCTCCGCGCCGGGTCACTCCCCTCCAGCGCAACCGCCGCCTCCCGTAGCGGCGCGACGTGATAGGCGCAACATTCGACTGCCCCGTCGGTACGATGACTATGTACTTGATCCCTGGTAGCTCCGATTACATATGTTTTTGTCTCGTTAGGTCTACACACATTCTTTTGGTTGTATGCACTTGTTGTTGCGTCTGTGTTCCGTTCGAACCGGTTTCGGTTCAGTTCTCTGTACAACTGTTATGTTTCTGTTTAGTCAGGAGAAAGAAAAGGCAGTCACGCCAGTACCAGGCTGGTACTGTAGTTGTGTTGTGTTGTGGCGGCCTCCTGCCTGGCGGTACCGTGGGCTGTGAGCCACGTGCCGCACTGCAGTTGACAGCTGCCGCCGGCTGGCCGCCGACCGGCAGAACTTATACGGCCTTGCAGTCACCGGCGGCGCCGCTGAGCGTGTGGCATTGCGTTTCGCTGTCGCACGGTATATAGAGAACTCGCTGTCGCTTATGTGTTAAATATAACTGCTCTCACTGGAAGCCGACTCCACTCTTACTAACTGGCGCTAGGACACTCCGATTTACATGCTGCTTCGAAGGACATAGGCGGCGGAACGGGGAGGGCACCGGGGCACCGTGTCCCCCTTTGATTTAGGCATTTTAACATTAGCCCTATGGGCGATGCATGGAAAGAATGGGACCAAAAGTCGGCAGTGCCCCCCCCCCCTTAATTGAAGTTGTTCCGCCGCTACTGTCGAAGGAAGTCCTACATTGTTTCAGAATGAGTTCATTTTTAGGGATCGGGTACGGGGACCCGCAGTTGCTACTGTGTAGTCGACTACAGAATGATGTTCGACTCCTCAGAAGCTATCAGTTGACGGCGGAGCGCTAAGTTGTGCCGTTTATCACGCAATTAAGCGTGTCGACTGTGAGCATTGGGACAAAGCTATAATTTGTGAACTCAGCCCGTTGATGCGGCACAGCCTACCGCTCCAGGCAAATAATTGCCTGTGAAAAGTGGAACATCATTCTGTAGTCGACTATACAGCGGTCAGCGACCCTGAGTACCTAAATTGTCCCAGCACCCTCGCAGGGAACAACGGTAAGCTGTCAGAGGGCACACACAGAAAACCTCAGCTGCTCTTGTACACGGCCCGGCAGTCGTTATATATAATATATAACGGCAGTCATATATATGTTGCAGGCACTTTAGAAAATCAGTCATTTTGTAAAATGCCTAGGCATTTTACAAAAAGACGGCTGTTTGAAAAATGACTGAACGCAACCAGGCTTTTTTCAAAATGGCTAGCCTTTTTACAAAATGACTAGGCATTTTGCAAAATGCCTGACCAGCATGGAACGTAGATCTCAGTACAGATATGGCCAACAGTTTTTGGACGTCTTCCTATACCCTATAGGTACGTGTTCAGCTTGTAGCTGATCGATTTGAAGCTCTGTGATGACGCCAATGCTGAGTAACGACCACGTTGAGTTGCAGACTCGGCTGTAGCATAAAGCATTGTTTAGTTAACGCTGTAAAAACTCCCAAGTATATCAACGCCGTTCATGTTCTGCCTGAAACTAGACCTAACAAAACCAGCCGGAGACCGGCCCTAGTCAATAGGCAGGCCCGGTTGATGTACAATTACATGTAAACGAATGAGTGTAGTCTTTGTTTGATTGTGTCTTTGTTTGACAGCTTTGAGTACCTACTTGCATGGTCCCAGTTAAAAATATCAAGCTCCACATGGGGACAATCATCAGGTCGCTTGGCGTAGGACGAGAGCGTTGGTTTCAGAAGACACGAACGCCTAAGTGTGTGGGATCGAATCCTCGCGACCTCTAATGGTTTTACAGATACAGGCCGGCATAGGGCCAGTCGTTTGTTGACGCTCCAGATCGATCCGATTTTAAATCCAGCAGCGTCGCTGACGTGGGGGTTGGAAATGTCGCGGGCCTGCACTTCTCAAAATAGAGAGAGGTAGGTATGGACTTCCCACTGCTGGACTCCTCTGGTCATAATGCTGGACTCCTCGGTCCACCTACACGCTACCAAAACGTATATAATTAGGTACTCGCATCTACAACACGCTGCTCAGTCATTTTGTAAAATGGCTAGGTATTTTGTAAAATGCCTAGACATTTTGCAAAATGACTGGAGAGTCAGTCATTTTGTAAAATGCCTAGGCTTTTTGCAAAAAGCCTGGAAAATCAGGCATTTTGCAAAATGCCTAGGCATTTTACAAAATGACTGATTTTCTAAAGTGCCTGCAACATATATATGTTGCAGGCACTTTAGAAAATCAGTCATTTTGTAAAATGCCTAGGCATTTTACAAAAAGACGGCTGTTTGAAAAATGACTGAACGCAACCAGGCTTTTTTCAAAATGGCTAGCCATTTTACAAAATGACTAGGCATTTTGCAAAATGCCTGACCAGCATGGAACGTAGATCCCACTACAGATACTATGGCCAACAGTTTTTGGACGTCTTCCTATACCCTATAGGTACGTGTTCAGCCTGTAGCTGATCGATTTGAAGCTCTGTGATAACGACAATGCTGAGTAACGACCAGGTTGAGTTGCAGACTCGGCTGTAGCATAAAGCATTGTTTAGTTAACGCTGCAAAAACTCCCAAGTACATCAACGCCGTTCATGTTCTGCCTGAAACTAGACCTAACAAAACCAGCCGGAGACCGGCACTAGTCAATAGGCAGGCCCCGTTGATGTACAATTAGGTACATGTAAACGAATGAGTGCAGTCTTTGTTTGATTGTGCCATTACGGACAAAACTGCATTATGTATTTGGACATTAAAAACACGTTCGAATTTGATTATAATTTCCCACTCCTCTCTCATCCTCATATTTTAACACGCGCAGTGGAAGGGGGGGCGGATCCCGCCCACCCCTCCTGTTTTTCGCCAATAACTCGCGCCGCAAGGTTTTCTTTAGGTTTTCTTCCTAACTTTTCTTTGGAATAAAAAAGCTCTCTGATCACAATGAATACTAAAGCAATAATTAACAAAACACGATTAATTTTGCTCTGTGGCAACAGCTTTGAGTACCTACTTGCATGGTGGTCCCCTCCCAGTTTAAAATATCAAGCTCCACATCGGGAGAATCATCAGGTCGCTTGGCGTAGGACGAGAGCGTTGGTTTCAGAAGACACTAACGCCTAAGTGTATGGGATCGAATCCTCGCGACCTCTAATAGTTTTACAGATACAGGCCGGCATAGGGCCAGTCGTTTGTTGACGCTCCAGATCGATCATTTTAAATCCAGCAGCGTCGCTGACGTGGGGGTTGGAAATGTCGCGGGCCTGCACTTCTCAAAATAGAGGTAGGTATGGACTTCTCACTGCTGGACTCCTCGGTCCACCTACACGCTACCAAAACGTATATAATTAGGTACTCGTATCTACAACACTCTGCTCAGTCATTTTGTAAAATGGCTAGGCATTTTGTAAAATGCCTAGGCATTTTGCAAAATGACTGGAGAGTCAGTCATTTTGTAAAATGCCTAGGCTTTTTGCAAAAAGCCTGGAAAATCAGGCATTTTGCAAAATGCCTAGGCATTTTACAAAATGACTGATTTTCTAAAGTGCCTGCAACATATATGTTGCAACATATATGTTGCAGGCACTTTAGAAAATCAGTCATTTTGTAAAATGCCTAGGCATTTTGCAAAATGCACGATTTTCCAGGCTTTTTGCAAAAAGCCTAGGCATTTTACAAAATGACTGACTCTCCAGTCATTTTGCAAAATGCCTAGGCATTTTACAAAATAACTAGCCATTTTATAAAATGACTGAGCAGTGTGTTGTAGATACGAGTACCTAATTATATACGTTTTGGTAGCGTGTAGGTGGACCGAGGAGTCCAGCATTATGACCAGAGGAGTCCAGTGGGAGGTCCATACCTACCTCTCTCTATTTTGAGAAGTGCAGGCCCGCGACATTTCCAACCCCCACGTCAGCGACGCTGCTGGATTTAAAATGATCGATCTGGAGCGTCAACAAACGACTGGCCCTATGCCGGCCTGTATCTGTAAAACTATTAGAGGTCGCGAGGATTCGATCCCACACACTTAGGCGTTAGTGTCTTCTGAAACCAACGCTCTCGTTACGCCAAGCGACCTGGTGATTCTCCCGATGTGGAGCTTGATATTTTTAACTGGTACCATGCAAGTAGGTACTCAAAGCTGTTGCCACAGAGCAGAATTAATCGTGTTTTGTTAATTATTGCTTTAATATTCATTGTGATGAGAGCTTTTTTATTCCAAAGAAAAGCTAGGAAGAAAACCTAAAGAAAACCTTGCGGCGCGAGTTATTGGCGAAAAACAGGAGGGGTGGGCGGAATCCGCCCCCCCCCTTCCACTGCGCGTGTTAAAATGTGAGGATGAGAGAGAAGGAGTGGGAAATTATAATTAAATTCGAACGTGTTTTTAATGTCCAAATACATAATGCAGTTTTGTCCGTAATGGCAAAATCAAACAAAGACTACACTCATTCGTTTACATGTAATTGTACATCAACCGGCCTGCCTATTGACTAGGGCCGGTCTCCGGCTGGTTTTGTTAGGTCTAGTTTCAAGCAGAACATGAACGGCGTTGATGTACTTGGGAGTTTTTACAGCGTTACCTAAACAATGCTTTATGCTACAGCCGAGTCTGCAACTCAACCTGGTCGTTACTCAGCATTGTCGTTATCACAGAGCTTCAGATCGATCAGCTATAGGCTGAACACCTACCTATAGGGTATAGGAAGACGTCCAAAAACTGTTGGCCATAGTGTCTGTTCTGTACTCTGTAGTGGGATCTACGTTCCATGCTGGTCAGGCATTTTGCAAAATACCTAGTCATTTTGTAAAATGGCTAGCCATTTTGAAAAAAGCCTGGTTGCGTTCAGTCATTTTTCAAACAGCCGTCTTTTTGTAAAATACCTAGGCATTTTACAAAATGACTGATTTTCTAAAATGCCTGCAACATATATACCAATGGTAGTCCCTGCGCTTTTCTATCTACAAACTTACCAAATTTTAGATCGATATCTCCTTTTTTCGCCAAGTTAGAGCGAAAAAACTGTTCAAAATTGATGACGTCAACTTTTTGAACTCAATTATCAGCAATTCTAGACCACGTCGTGCAAAACAAAGGCCACCATTAGACCACCCG